AAAGCTTTTGCTAGATCACAGAAAATCCCTCCCACAATTAATCTGTCATTGAGAGCACTTAAAATATCGTTAGTTAGTTCATAGGTTGCTTTTTCTGTTGTTAGGTCTTTCCTAAATCCAAATTGCTCTTTGACTAATATGTTGTTAGAATTTAAGTGTTCAAGTAGTCTATTATACATAACTTTTTCAAAGACTTTTGAGAATGAAGTCAATATGGATATTGGTCTGTAATTAGAGATGCATTATGGAGATTATGGAGATTATGGATATTGGTGCAACAGATCAACTGCTGATTGGATATTCTGCATTTATCAGATACTGGAGAAAAAATGGGACAGATTTGAAGAGAGCTGGGAAGTAAGTATTTTGCAGTATTCTCATGGGTTTCTTGTACCCATGAATCTAATTAGGCTAAGTAAAATGTGTTTCAATTAAACCTGTAGTAAAATCCTATAAATAAATGTTTGTCTGATACATTTTATGTCCTGACTTGTCTGAAACAGGGAGACTGAAATTGATATTTAACTTCGCTCCAAAATATGCCTTAGGAAGCCCAGGGAAACAAGAACAACTGATAGCGTATGGAACATGTTGCTTCTGGTCTATGCTGATCATATTAATGTATTGGACAGAAACATGGAGAAAAACACAAGCTTTGTTAGACATTAGTTAGCTGGGTGGCTTAGAAGTAAACAAACAGAAAACTAAATTCATGTGCACGGCTTGCCACAAAAGTGCAGAACAAACTCATAACTCTGAAAAAGCAGCAGATGTCAAATATTTAGGAAACAATGAATAATGATTTTTTTTTAATTTGTGCTACTGGCTAAATATTGTTTGAATGTTAAAGATGCATGAGATAGGTGTAGCATGTAGCAAGCCAAGAATTTTGAGAGGAAAACGTGAGAGGCTTTTGTGAAGACAGTGATGAAACTTCAGGTTCCCTAAAATTCTTGGAATTTCATGACAACCTGAGCAACTCTTAATTTCTTGAGATGAGCTCTGTTCCATGTAGTTAGTTAGCCACAAGAACTTGTTCTGAATGGAAAAAAAAAATGCATACAATGTAATAATTGTGCTGTATTCAATTTGTCATTGCCTCAATGCTAAATTCTGATGTGAAATTTCGGGCTGTCTTGTGGTAAATATGCTCATTCTGGACCTCTAGGATGTGAGGCAGTGTTTAGTAGATTAGTTTTTAACCATTTCAGAGGAATGTGATGCCACCACCTTCAGGGTGTAAGGACTAACTTTTGATGCTTTTTACAGACAGCACAGAACAAGTGGCAGGGGGATGAGCAAGGACATCAAATATGACATTTTATCAATCTCAGTCTTATGGTTATGTTGTAAGAATTAGCTCAGAAACTCTAAGTCATGGCAGAGGGGTATTAGGCATAAAATGTGTTTCATTTTGCTCTCTAACTTCTTTTTCAGAACATTTTGGTCCTGAATGTATTTTGTGTTACATTTGAGATGCATATAGATCTTCATGTACAGTATCTGATATGGTTGTTTGATTTCAATCAAAATTGCAACAGGTCTCCATTTTGAAACACCCAAATATCAGATATAATGAAAATTCATTTAGGGGATTTTGAATTGTTATGTAAGGACAGAGTAGGAGTCAGTATAGCGTAGTTGGTATAGCAACTAGCTACGGGCTGACAACAAAGGGGTCAGAGTTCAAGCCCTGGTAGGGTCAAGAATTTTCTCCATGTCATCCAGATAGGCTCTGGGGTCCACCCAATGGGTACCAGGAGCTCTTTCCCCAGGGGAAAAGTGGCTGGGGCATGAGTACGACCACTCACCTATAGCTAGTGTTAAGGTCAAGAAAATGTAGATCTATACATTCATTCCCCCATATGCCTTCATAGTGTAGTGCTTAGTTAGTTAAGCACAGGGACTTTACCTTACATAAGGCAAGATGTGCCAAAGTAACATTTTTTCAGCTTTTGTTGTGAATGTATAAAGAAGAATCCTTAAATGCACATTTACAATACTTTATCTTCAATGTAAAATTGAAAAGAAAATATGTATTTTGGATTAGTACCAGATTCTTTTCTCCTAGAGATGAGAGTTAGCTAGAGCATGTCAGATTTGACATTCCTACAGCTTTGCTAGCTGCCTGCTTCGTGCTAGTATGTTGCGTGGTTGTGATGGAGATGGTATGTACCTCACACATCGATGCACTTTCATTAAATTACATTCCATTATATCCCAGAAGACAGAAAGAATCATGACATCATTGTTTCTTACACCAAAATATATCGGCATACTTTAACATGAAGTCTGGCAAATTCCTCCTGGGACACTCTGTATATATAGAAATATGGTTTTGAATATTATGACCATGATCAACTTCAAATAATACAACTATCATAGATTATTATTGATGAAGAGTGTACTCAGTGACAATTCCCGATGTATTCGCATTATATAGGGCAGGGGTCTCCGAACTATGGCCCACGGGCCACATCCGGCCCTCGATGTGATTTTATCTGGCCCGCGAAAGAATTGTGCAGAAATGCGCCAATTGAACTAATTTTCCCATGAGTACTGGTAAATGTGATTCTGAGCATATTGACCTGACATATTATACTGCAGTTTGATGGCTTAGCTGTGGAAAGGTTCTTTCGCGCTTCTTTCAGCTCAGTAATGAAATTTATATATATTTCTTACTGAGAAAAACCATCACGAGACACTTTTATCAGATACCGAGTGACTTTAGAAATTAGCATTTTTGCTGATCTGGTGAACCATATGAACCATTTGAATTTAAAGTTGCAGGGTGAAAATAACTTAGTCTGTGATTTATTTGCACTTATCAAGGCATTCAGAGCAAAGCTGATACTTCTGGAAAGCCAAGTGAAAAATTGTAACTTTGTTCATATGCTATACCGTGCAGAGTTGCATAAAAAGGGTGAAGCAGAATTTCCTTCCTCGTTTGCAAATTTAGTCAGTTCAGATTTGAAAGAACAATTTCGGAAGCGATTTGCTGATTTGGATTCCAGTGCTCAGGAAATTAGATTGTTTCAAAATCCGTTTGACTGTGATGCTGCAGATGTCCCAAGTCAAATTCAAATGGAAATTATTGAACTTCAGGAAAATTATCATATTAAAGACAAATACAAGGAAGGAAATTTGATCGAATTTTATAAATTTCTGAACTCTGAGCAATTTCCAAATTTAAGGAAATTTGCTTGAAAATTTATCTCCATTTTTGGGACGACATATCTGTGTGAACAAACTTTTTCCCAGGTGAAGTACATCAAGTCAAAATACAGGGTAAATTTATCCGATGAACATTTAAAGTCGCTACTTGTGATTAGCGTTTCAAAATTTGAACCTCAATTTAATCACATTTTAAGAATGCAAAAAGAGTTCCATCATTCACATTAATTGTTTTATTATAATTTGTGATGAAAATATGAGCATTTTCTGCTACTGTCTGTTGTCATTAATATACGATAATTTATTCTCACGTACTTTGTATTTAGTTTATGAAATTCTGTGCTTTCAATAAAACTCAAATACCTAGAGTTATCAATTTCTCATTTTATCTGGCCCGTTGAAAGTGCTGAATTACCGAATGTGGCCAGCGGTTCGAAAAGTTTGGAGACCCCTGATATAGGGCATGTAGGCCAAAGGACATGGCATGAAACAGTCGACTTGAATGCGGTTTTACGAGATATGTGGTTCTGACTGGGGTGATTGAAGATTATGTTGTCTTCCAGGATATGTTAAGGACACCCTGGAGATGGAGGGAATACATTCCTTCTGAATGTGGGTAACATTTACCAGAGTATAGAAATCTTAAAAATATGTATATGTAGTTGGAATTTGCATTGGCGAATTTATTTCGTGATTTTATGTTAGCAAAGCAAAATTTCATTTTAAACGCTGGTCGTGCTACAATAGCTTCCGTGTTTGTGGGCATCAGAAGCGATCAGAAGTACGTGATAAAACCAACAAAGATCATAATCATTCTATTCCAACTGTCAAAGAAATGCATAACCAAACCAGGGCAAAAATAAGTATGTACATTGACAAAATACAAAAAAAAAAAGTAAGACAATATATAGCAAATACGAGTAACACTATCTTGAAATAACAACCACAAACAACAATACGTTATTCTAAAATTTTAAAACTAGGCGAGAAACGGATGAGAAACACGAAGAGCATAAGAGTGAACAGCCGGAAGTAAATTGATGTGGGCAGTAAAGGAAGTAGTGTGGAAATCGTAGAAATGGTAGTAATGATTTGAGTTGTAATTGTGGGTGTTTTGGTAGCGAAGCGGCTAGAAAAGAAAAAGAAATCGAAACAGAAAGAAGTGCTTTAACTTGAGGTTTGTTCGGCTCTTTCTTTGTACCGTTTTTTTTTCAGTAATTCAAAGATAAACAGGTATTCGATAAATTCATTTTGGCGTCAGTACTTTGTTGTGTAGTTCGTCAGTGGTCTGTAATATGGTGTAAGGATCTGATTGCAGTTTTGACACACAAATTGTAAACTTAACAGGTTTCCCACTTGAAATCATGATGATCGTGAATAAAACATGCTCCCTGTTGGAAGAACCATGTTTCAGATAGATTCTCGAAGCAAATGAGTTAAAGGTTTATTTCCCTTATAAATAAAATACACAAAGCCCCATCAATTGCCATGTTATCCTTAACCTAACAGTTAATATTTATTCAGAAGTTAGTGGGGTTAAAATCGTACTAGCTACCCAGAAATGTTTCTGCGAAAGTAGTAATTATTTTGTATTATGAAATTCACATTTGTCAGGCCATAGGTGAACAAAGAGCTTATTGTATGTGCCTGCCATGTTTCTGTGTGTTTATGACAACAAACTACTGGAATTGGTATGTAAAGAAGGCTAACACAGTTCCCTTATATGCGAGGTCGTTATAAAGATTGAAACGAAATTCGTGCACAAGCTGTCCAAAATATTTATTAATAAAAAACATTTAAAGTGATATGCTACATATGGCCTGCTACACATGGTTTTCAAGATACATGTTGTCATCATCGTAGCAGTGTTATTTGTCACAGTGCAGATGTGATGTGATCCTTGGTACTGTTTCAGAGTCTAGGTCTTGCTCTACTCACCGTCAACTTATGGCGGGACGTGGAGGTCGTGGAGCAATATTAGAGGCCCTCCTTGCTCACCAGCGGACACCTGGTGTACAAAATGACAGTCAAGGAGATGAGAGTCCGGTAAGGAAGTACATTTGAAGAAGTGGCTGCTTTCAGAAATCCAGTCTCATAAGTCTTATTGCTTAAGGAATGAGGTTGTTGTCTGAGAGTGGAATTTGTAGTTTCTTAACTTTATGTTATACCAACAGGCATTCTATTTCGAACCGCAGCCAGTATTTGAATTATGTGTTTTACTAAGCTAAGTATTTGGCAGGTTCATTCGTGTGGTGGATCCACTTAACATTGCAGCAGCTGTTATTGTATGCCAGGATTAGTATTCATCGGTAAAGTATAATATATATACAAAATATAATTTTTTGTCAATTTCCTGTTTTTTACTGTGAGCCTAATAGAGAACTCCCACAGACATGAAATTTACTTCTTACTCCTGCCAGTATTTACAGTAGTCATGATGTTTAAAGTGTTGTGTATGTATTGAACTAGAGTTTTTGGATGTTATTCAGATCTTAATTCAAAATATTTTATTTTTTAACTATATGAATAAACTCTGATTTTGTGATGGGGGTAATGTTCCTTCTTTAAGGTTTTAGTGAGAGCTCACTCTTTGAGTCACTGCATGCCCTCAGAAACATTATTATATTGTTCTGGGTGGAATCATGAATATGAAGTAGTCAGCTTTGTTGAATGCTGTGCACAGAGTTGAAGCAGGTCAGTCTTGCTGTGCTATTCTATGGTGACAAGGAATCCATGTCTCTTAACATTTTAAATAGATTAAATGCATGTTCACGCTCTGTAACCAGAGTGCAAGACAACATTGTTATATAATGACCACTGATAAGAGAAAATGTAGCACTATGACAAATCAGAATTTTATTCAGGAAGATAAAAACATTTATGTAAATTCCTGAATTTGATTCAGAAAAATTTGTCTTTGTCACCTATCAAAAACATGCAGACTAAAGTATACATTATCTGTGATTCTACCTGGCATATATGTAGGCATGAATGTTTTGGAGGAACCTGCTTACCAGACTACCCAGCATCACGTACCAGAAGGCCAAAGTCTTAAAATTGTTGGCATATTTCCATTAGACATTTCTGTATGTACTTTTGTGTGGCTTTAGTGTGTGTGGTTGTCTGTCTTGTTCTAAATGTCTTCTTTCATCTGTGCCAGTATATGACTGACGTATCCCCTTATACAGCAGAACCCCCATTTAATGTACCTTAATTTAAGGCCTTCCCTCATTTAGCATTCATTTTCAGTAATCCTGATTCACCCTCCATTGAAGACATTCCTCCCCTTAGAGTTCAAATCCAGTGCATCTCAAAAGAAACCTTAAATGGGATTTCAGTTTCTATCATCCCCTAAAGTTCATTGTCTTTGTAACAGCCCGAATCTTCAGCCATGATAGTGGCTGAACCTCCTTCCGCAGTATCCAGCGGGCGTGGACGCGGCAGGGCAAACATACTAGCAAGCCTTCGCAGTCAGAACAAGGTGCCACTGCCAGTTCCTCCTCTGCAGGAAGCAGGGAAAGAGGAGGAGTTTCCCAGACATCTCGGTCGAGGTCGTGCACTCCTGAATTTTGTGGGGAGTGGATCAGTGTGAGTTGTATTGTATTATGTCTGTTTTTTGTTTTTCATGCAGTGAAATAGTGCCAATATCGTTACATGGCTGCAATCAAAATTATAAATAAGAGAACTTGAAATTGCTCCTAAGTTTTCTTCAAAAATTTTTTCAAACAGACCTGCCGTGAAACCTCCCTCTCCTGTGCCCTCAACTAAGGCTCCACCTAAATCTGTGGAACGAGCGGCTGTAAAGATGGCCAAGATGAGCCTTCAGGAGAAGCCTCCAGTTCACAAGACAGGGAGCAGTGGCAAGCAGTGAGTACCACAATCTCGCTTCAGCCTATAACTATATGCAAGGGTTTGTAGGTGGAGCTGATACAAAATGGGACCTGCGTTACTGACATCACTTCAAATGAATGATATTTCAGATAATGTGTGTGCTTTTTTTCAGAGTTTCAGTGAAGTAAAATGTTTTCCTACTGATCATTGGATAGTGGTGTACAGACACAGAATGGTGTTTGAATTTTTAAAAATGTTTCTGATTACATGTGACAGTAATGTGACATTTTGCTGTAATTGGCTTGCAGAATCCCAGTCACTGTCAATTATATAAGACTTAGAGTAGAACCAGGGAAAGGGGTGTACGAGTATGAAGTCCGCTTTGAACCAGAATTGGATTCTAGGGGGATTCAGAATAAACTCCTCAACGAGCATCGTAAGGAACTTGGCGAAACAAAGACATTCGATGGAGTGACTTTATATCTGCCAGTCCAACTGCAGCAAGAGGTGAGAGGTAGTTTATTTACTCAGTTCCAAATTAGAAGCATGTTTGTCATGATGGAGCATGTTGGAAGTGTTTATAGAGATTGTTGCTAATTGTAATTTATTGAGAAAGGAATACTTTTTGTTTGTGCTTTCTGTTTGTTTGTTCTTATTTGCTGAATTTAGTTGCAGTGTTATTTACAGTAATTTTATAACACTAAAATTAATTTGTGGGCATTTGTCACTGTGAAATATTTAATATTCCTTCTGTGTAGAAGTGGAAGAAGCCATTAAGACATAATGAATCTTATATGCTTGTTAAATTATTAAATTTTCTGCACAGGACACTAATTGTAAAGTTGTCATTCTATTGAAGAAGATATTTCCCATATAAAGTACTAGTATTTCTTTTTGATGAAAATACAAGGTGGTTCAAATATGACTTGGACTGATTTGTGTGTAAACAAGCCGCACTGCGCAGCAGCTGTGCGACCTTGAGAGAGTGAAGCCACAACCTGCACCCTCCCTCCTGTTGGGGTTAGAACCTGTTCAGTCATGTCTGGGAGTTGCTAGAGTGATGAGCGAACAGAAGATATCGCGGAGCATGGAACAACGCATTGTGATCAAATTCCTCGGAGAAAATGTCCCATCCCATGAAATTCACCACAGACTCCAACAACAGTATGAGGAAGAGTGTCTCTTAAGGACACATGTGTTTGAATGGTGTAAGTGCTTCAGAGAGGGCAGAGAGCGCACGGAGAATGAACCGCATGATCGTCAGCCGCAAACTTCTGTCACCGAGCCAAACATTGATAATGCAGATGTGAGAATAGGCGCATCACTACCAAGGAACTTGGAGCAATGCTGTCCATCAGTGTTGGTAGTGTAGAAGACATCGTGAAATACCACCTGCACTATCGCAAGGTGAATGCACGGTGGGTACCATGCACTTTGACGAACGTGAACAAAATGGTGCACATGCAAGCTTCCAGTTGTCTCCTACAGCAGTTTGAAGACGAAGGTGATGCATTTTTGAAGTCTGTAGTGACCACCGATGAAACGTGGGTGCACTACTTCATTCCCGAGTCCCAGCAGAAATCACACAAGTGGTGGGATACCAGTTCTCCCAAACCCAAGAGTGTGTGGAGGAGCCGTTCGGCAGGAAAAGTGATGGAAACGTTCTTCTGGGACTGGCAGGGGGTTATCCATGTAGACTTTCTGGCAAATGCCAGAACAGTCAATGCAGCTTATTACTCAGACCTCCTGGCAACAGACGTGAAGGAAGAGATCCGATCCAAGCAGAAGACAGGTGGAAAGCGGGTAGCTTTCCTTCAAGACAATGCACTCCCCCAAACGGCCAAAACAACAATGGAAACCCTCCGGAAATTGAAATGGAACCTTGTGACACATCCGCCATACAGTCCCAATTTGGCCCCAAGTGATTTCTACCTGTTCAGAAGGCTCAAATCAGACTTGCAAAGCATGCAGTTTGTGGACAATGACGCCGTCATCCAGACTGTTTGGGAATGGATATGCCGTCAAGCACAAGCCTTTTTTGAAAAGGGCATCAGGAAGCTTCCAGAACGTTGGAAAAATGTGTTGACTCCAGAGTGGAGTACGTTGAAGACTGACATGTGCAAGTAAGTGGTTGGAAATTATGGTTTAAAAAAAAATCAGTTCCAGTCATATTTGAACCACCTTGTAGATATAGGAAATTTGTGATTTAAATTTTTTATTGCAGCAACAGGTGTTAGAAAAGTCATTGTGATTGGTGATGCTGGGAACATTCCATGGCTGATGAGGTCTGAGGCTCTTAGAACAGTGAATATTAAGGCTGTGGTCCCTGGGATGTGGCACTGTGTAGCTTGATAGATGCTTACCAGTGTTTCAGAGCAACCTGTTCCTTCTGTCTGCATAACTATAGCAAGAAACACAGTGTTAGGTCTTAGAAGACAGCAGTCTTAACTCTGTGTCTCAACAACCCCTCCTCCCAAGTAGTCATGGTATTATTACATGTTGTAGGTAACAAGATATGTGTCATCCCACCCAGTGGATGCATCACCTGTCACCATCAGCATCATTTTCAAGAGAAAAAGGCAAATGAGAGAATGCATTCACCTGTACAATGTGTTATTCAGAAAGATAATGATTGTGCTGGACATGGCTCGTATTGGCAGACAGCACTTCAACCCTAGAAATGCACATCCAATCCCACAGCACAAGTGAGTGTGTCCCATTGTATCAACTTGTACCATTCTCAGATATAACATGCAACAGGAGCAAGTAATTCTTACATTTTAAGCACACATTCAAATATTGGTCCGTTATCACCTTGATTCACAAGGTTGGCTCATACAGCGCTTGTAGGCACGGTTGTGATGTCATGATGTGTGAAATGACCCATTGATTACAGTGTACAACACGAATTCTCTCCTTGCTGCAAATGTTTGTTCCATCCATGTGTGCCATCCGACAGATTCGTCTTGAAGAGTGATGAGGGATGGTCAGGATGTGATACCAGCCAGCCACCTACATCTAGTGCCATCGGTTGAGAAAAGCTGTAGCTGTGCATTCGCAAGATTGTTTGAGGCTCATAGTGGGCTGTAATGACAGAGAATTCAGCTGTGAGGGAGTGTGCAATGTTTGTCTGTTGACACTGTGGGTGTTGTGTGCAGTTTTTATGAATTGTTTCTCAGACCTCTCCTCACCCAGATGTGCCACTGATAACAAGTTATACAAGTGGAAAAGCTTATTGCCTTATATTCATTGCAGTGAGAACCTTAATGCACTTTATGTTGTCAGGTTGGAAGTGTGGCCTGGCTATGTGACCGCAGTGGACGAGTACGAGGATGGCATCCAGCTGTGCTGCGACTGTTCACATCGTGTGCTGCGGACCCAGACCGTTCATGAGCTTATGTGAGTTGTAATGAAGATGTGGGTGTCCAATTGCTGCATGTAGCCATGTCACACAGTTCCGTTCTTTCTGCAGGGAGGAGATCTTGTGCCAGAACCCCAACAACTACCAACATGTGGTGCACAAAACTATTATTGGAGCCTCGGTCTTGACACGATACAATAATAGAACATATCGAATTGATGATATTGACTGGAATAAATCACCCAATTCCACATTCGCCACACACACGGGTGAAACGGTAAGCATAATGATATAAGTGCTTGAACAGTTGAGTATTTAGATTATGGCCATCCTGACTCTAACACTGTAGTCAGTAGAAGTTCCTTTACCCTGAAGATGGAGACAGTATTTTCCTTCAGACCATCTCTTGAACTATGTTGGATTTGAGCTTCTCATTCCAGCGGCAATGAAGAGTATGCCGTGTAGTAATGTTGGAATGTTTCCCGAATGTTACTCCAAGCGTCTGCTAGGCTACACAGCATTGCATCCCAGGAGACAGTAATCTTAAACTACAGAACTACACTGTGGCATCCCAGAAGACTACTGTTTTAGTAGTTAGTGCTGTGGGAACACCAGATTTCATATAATACCCATTCTGATACTTAAGGCTGTTTTTTAAAGTAAGACACTTCTGATTGAGCTAAAAACAAAATTTTGGGCATGTGTGAAGTTCACCACCTGTGTGTGTCTGTGTTTTAGATCTCGTTCAAGAGTTATTACAAGAAGCATTATGACATTGATATCCATGACTTGGAGCAGCCACTTCTACTGAACCGAATGAAGAGCAAGATTCGAGGGCAGGGTGTAAGTATGGATCATGACACACTATAATGAATCACTGGAGAAATGGCTTTTCTTTCACTAAATGGGGATTATGCAAAATTACATTAAGAAACTGGTCATTTTTTTGTAAGATTTACTTGGTAAAATAATTTCTTTATGTAAGTAATTAGGTCAACTGTTTCTACACAAATATGTAACTAACTTGCGAACATTTTCACCTTTTTGAGTTTGTTGTAAACTCTTTGATCAATGCTGAGGCATTTCCATCTTCAGCTTACATCTGCATGGTGTGTTTGAGCAACACACAGATTTCCCTATATATTTGTATACCTTTGTTTCAAATATGACTGGAATCTCTTCTTATTCTGCATTATATTTGTATGTATGCCATTTCTTTTAGTATTTTAAAACCAATTTAATCTAAATTATTGCTTTTGGCCACCACTATCAATTTTGCACTGTTGTGATTAGTGATCAGCACAAGAAGCATATGTGTCATATGAAGACCGTGTATGAAGTATTATTTCCAGACCTGACAGAGCTGTCTGAGTAGCTTCACTTGTATCATCCACTGTAATTCATAATTTATTTACATCCATAAACTGTTACACAAGTACAATTGGACCAGTCAGTTAAGCAATCTAAAACACAACAAGTCAATTACTCTTAAAAATGTACAAAGTGATACACAAGACTAAAAACAGTATAATCATCATTAGGATCATCATCCCCCTGCTGAGGCTAGCAACCAAGGATGACATCCCCCAGCAATCCAATATAAAGCAATGCATACACCTATACCATCTACATACATCCACACCACATCAGAACCAGCGTGAGCCACCAAACTACCATCCATCATTGTTACTAAAAAACTCCTGCAGAGAATAAAAGCAGTTTTGTAATAAATAACTTTTTAATCTGTTTTTAAGAACTTTAAAATTTTCTATTCTTTTTAAATCAAGGGGATGGCTGTTATGTATTTTAATTCCCATGTTAATTACACTTCTTTTGCAATGAACAGTTGCATGTTTATACATGCACATCATGTTTTCCCTTAGTGTTATACTTGTGAATGTCAGCATAATGAGTTATGTAGATCTTGTTCTTTTTTTAAAAAGCATAAGATCTCTCATATATATATATATATATATATATATGTATATAAAGAAGTTACTGTTAAAATCTTAAATTCCCCAAAGAGACTTCTACAGGACACCCTGTTTTTCACTCCTTTAATGAGCCTAGACTTTTTTTAAAGACTGGATTACTGTTATTTACTCCCCCCCAAAAAAATCATACCAGATTTTAGTATAGATTCAAATTTATTAAAATAAACACTTCTTAGTACTGGTAAACTTAGTGAGTCTTGTATGGCTTTAATCAAATAAAGGACTATGTTTAATTTATGGCAGAGATGATTTAGATGAGTGGCACAGCTTGAGTTATCTGTGATATAAATACCTAAGAATTTTAAATTTGATATTTTTTAGATACAGAATGGGTCCATGAGTTAAACTAGATCCTCTTCCCTGAAACAGTATTGCTTTAGTCTTTTCAGCCTTTATTATAAGATTATTTTGTTAGGAAGGTCGCGGGTTCAAATACTGATGAGGACATTGGATTTTTTTCAGTTGACCTAATCCTTCCGGCCGCACTATGGCCCTGGGGTTCACTCAGCCTCTAACAGAAATGAGTACCAGGAATTAAATAATTTTCATGGGGAGTAAAGTGCGGCCGGCACGTAAGGCTGACAACCTTACTGCCATCTTTGAGCCAACTGTCTGGATAATGTGGGACCCTCAACATCTCACAACCCTATGGGCCTTCACAGCCTGGTACAGGGATAGCTTTACTTTACTTTACCAGTTTTCTAATTGTTTCATGACTTTTGCTGATTTTTCTTTTAATAATGGGAGGTTTTTCTCTACGAGTAGTATATTTGTGTCATCCGCGAGAAACACCACCTTAGCTTCTTGAACTGCTTGGGGAAAATTGTTTATAAACAACAAGAACAAAAGAGGTCCCAAAACAACCCTGAGGTACACCATATTTTATTTCTTTACATGATGAAACAAACGGCTTTATGTTTGCGGTCTTTTCATCTAAATGCTGTACTTCTACAAACTGAGTTCTAGCAGTAAGATATGAAATCATCCAAAAGTGTATTTTCCCTCTATGATGATACAGCTCCAATTTGGCAAGCAGTAGTTTATGATTTATTACACCAAAGGCCTTAGTTAAATCTAAAAATATGCCTGTAGCTAACAGCTTATTATCTGATGCTTTCTGGATATCTCTGTTAAGGTTTGTGTTGTTGTAGTGCTAGATTTCTTCTGTCTGAAGCCATTTGAGCCTCAGATATCATGTTGTGTTTGTTTAAGAAAGTCAGTATTCTTTTATGTATTTCAAGAATTTGGGAGAAAACTGACAAAATTGAAATTGGTCTATAATTGAAAATTTCCTGTTTCCCACCTTTTTTTGTGAATAGGCTGAACTTTTGCAATCTTCATCAAAGTTGGAAAAGTTCCAGAACATAATGTAATGTTACTGAGGCTCTTGGGCTACAAGATGAGACAGCTGTCTGTTTGGTTGCAGGAGGTGGAGCAAATGGTGTGTTTGGTCCCAGAACTCTGCTATCTTACAGGGTTGACAGATGAGATGAAGAACGACTTCCGTGTCATGAAGAACATTGCCATGTATACGAGAATCACTCCCAACCAGCGCCAAGCTGCACTTAAAAAGTTTATCAGTAATATTGAAGGTATGAGGGCATATCTAGTGGCTGAGGTCCAAGCTCAGAGCGATCCTTGTGGACAGCACAGCCAGAATGTTTGAGTAAATAGATCTCATAAGCTTCTCAGCGCATAAGGATTTCAATTTGGATTATCTTTGGACAGATGGGAATTAATAAGAACTGTGTGTTTGGACTTTTGCCATTTTAATCAAATTCCTTTCAGATTGTTTAGGCAGTTAGTAATGTCTGAAGACTATAAAGAAGTGAATTTAAAGTACCTTAGTAATTCTGTTTGGCGTGATAGTTCTTAAAGCATGTAAAATGAGCAAACATCTCGACTAGCACTACATTAATTTAGTCCATTGACCCTGTTTCTGAGTTTGCATGTTTAACTCCCCCCCCCCTCTCTCACCCCCATCATTTTATACATTTTGCTTCAGTATTTATCTCAGGTGCTCCTTTCTTTTACAGTCTTTATTGAAAAATAATTGAAACTGCTCTTGAAACACATACTTTGTGTTCTGTAATTTTTTTTTGTGTGTAAAATGAATGTGATATCTTTTCTGAATTCTTTGTTTTGTGTGTTTGGATTTCTCAGGGAATTTTTTTTTTTTAAATAAGTGTTTGATTGGATTCCAGCTGATGTGTGAAGGTCAGTGTAGCATGGCCCAGTTAGTAGTAAATTTCCCTGAACTTTAATCAATTTATGTTCAAATTCTGTCCAATCTCCCCCCCCCCCAATTTCTGATTCTCTCCTCTAGTTCTCCTTTGCATCCTTCTTAGAAACATCATCCTGCCATTACAATTACAAAAGCATGGTACTATATTCACAGTCATATGGATCACTGTGTTTGTAATCTAACATGTTATGCAGGAGCAAAACTGGTGACACAGTGAACATGGTGAATGGTAGTCCTGTCAGTGAACATGTCATTTATGTGGATCATTTCGTAGAAAGACTGAAATGAGTACAGATGGGCATTAGATGCACTGTTTTCCATCCATCTGTTCTTTCAGGCAGGAAGTGTAAAACTTAACCCATAGCAGTGAGCAGACCTCTGTGACGTTAGGGGAGGGAGGCCAGGAACATGAATTTTGCTGTGAAATGGAGGTGCATATCGGTATCTCGAGCGATGCCTAACTGGTTTACACACTGTTTACAGAAAATAAAAAGGCTCAAGACTTGTTGGCTGGCTGGGGTCTCAAGATGGATTCAAGCACATTGGATCTCATGGCTCGGGTTCTCGATCCTGAGGTGGTCATCTTCGGTAATAACACAGTCCAGAAGGTCACGTTACATGCAGATTGGGGAGGAGCCATGTCTCATAACAAAGTTCTGACTGCAGTGAGTTGTATTACCCTTCTTGTTCTTAGCTGGCATCACACTTATATTGTAATTAAATTGGCCTGTAGTAATTGTTTTGAAAGTGGGTTCTGTCAGCTTTCAGATAAGGAAATTATTTATGCTAGCACTGCCGGTAGGGAAATCTGTATTGTCTGTTTTCATGGATGGTTTCCTTACAAGTTCCTGGAAGACAGAAACAAAACTTGAATGGTAACCAAATGTTCCATTGTTCTATATAGGAATGAACATTAGTCAGCATAATGTTTCTGAACCTTATCAGAAGTTGCAGGCTAAAACAGAGTTTAGTATCTTATAGCACACCAAGTCATATACTTTGTATTGTTTATTTAATTATGCTGTCATTATCTCAGACTGTATACCATCAGCTCATTAGTGAATAATGAATTGGAAAGAATGTGGAAGGAAGTGTTAATGTTCTGATTGAGATACTATCCCAGCATTTTCCTGGAGGGACTGAGAAAGACCACAAAAAGTTAGAATATTTGGTGTTCCAATCAAGATTTGAAGCTGGTACTTTCCAAATACAAGCCAGAAGTGTTACTGTTTCGGCCAACTTGCTGCCGTGTACCACTGCACCTATGCATGCATGAACTATATTGTTGTTCATATTTATGGTTTCTTCTTGGCCGCACCATGGCTGAAGTGGTTAATCGCTGGCTTCTCACCACGGCGGCCCGGGTTCGATCCCGGGTCTGGTCAAGTGGGATTTGTGGTGGACAAAGTGGCGCTGGGGCAGGTTTTCTCCGAGTACTTTGGTTTCCCCTGCCAATCTTCATTCCACCAATTGCTCCACAATCACCCTCACCTATCATCTGAGGCTGGTACAATAGGCCAGAAGTGGCCGCAGTACAAGGGACTTAGTCCCACCCCACTAGCAATAAAAAAAATAATATAGTTTCCTCTTACAACATGATGTTTTATAATACTCAGTGCTGACTAACTTCATGGAGCTGAGTTCCTGAAAAGCCGCCAGTCACTCGGCTGCATAAGAATTTACCAATATTTTATGGAACCTAGAGGTTTATTACCATGTTCACAATAACATACTACTGGTCCCTACCTTGAACCATATCAATCAAGTCAATACCACCCCATCCTGTTTCTCTAAGATATATTTTAATATTAACCCCTGTGTATGCATTTCTCCTCCCTCCATGCATGCATTCCTCCTCTCCCAGTGCCCTGCTTATCTCTTCCTTCTTGACTTGGTCATTCTAATTATATTTGGTGAAGAGTACAGTTTATGAAGCTCCTCACTATGCATTTGGCTCCAGCCTTCTATTATTTCATCCCACTTCGGTCTAGATATTCTCAGTCACCGTCAACCTCTGTTCTTCCCTTGATGTGAGGGACCAAGTTTTATACCCATACAAAACTACAACTAAAACTGTAGTTTTGTGTATTTTAATCTTTACATTTTTAGAGAGCCGACTACAAGACAAAAGATTCTGATCTAAATGGTAGCGACCAATAACTGAATTTTATCTGCTCTCAAGTTCCTTGTGAATCAATTTTGATTGGTAGCTGTCATTCCCAAATATTTTAACTTTGCCACATTTACAAAGGATCTGTCAACTGTCTTTTTGTTATGAGTTTGCCCTGGATGAGATGTCAGAATGTACTTATCTCTTTTTAATTCTAGACCAGCCTCCTTAATAGCATCAGTTAGTGTCTCGTGTGTTTTGTCTGTGGTATTTATGTTGTCTCCCAGTAGATTTACATCATCAGCATAGACCTGAAGCTGATGTATTCCATTCATTTTCAGTCCCACCTGGTTTTCTTGGTCTTTCTAATGGCATATTCTAAAGCAAAGTTGAAAAGCCATGCTTCTAAACCACCATCTTGTTTTAGGCCATTTTGAATAGGAAATGTATTAGATGAATTTTTACCTATTATGTAGACTTTACTGTAGTTTTCATTTAAACAGGTTTTAATAAACCAAACTAGTTTCATGGGTACCCCAGACCCACTGAGAATGTTCTTCAATACTTCCCTACAAAATGAATCATAGGTGTTCTTGAAGTCTATGAATGGCTGAAATAATGTCTAATTGTGCTCCTATTTTTTCTGGAGTATCTCAGATGCAAAAGAGCCCAGATAGTAGTTGATCTGTTACGTCAAAATCCCAACTGATGATACCCAATAATTTTGTCTGCATGTGGACTTAACCTTCCGTGTTAGGTAGGTCCCTTGTCACCACAGCATGGCACGTCGTCAGGTTGCAGATGGAGGAGACGCCCTCCAGGTGTGGAGGGTAGCTGCAAATATATTGAATAAGCAGTCACAGACAGCCAACAAGGGGTGGTCATCCAGCTTGGAGGTTGGGCATGGGGCTAACAACTCGCTGTAAAAAATAAGCTTGTTACAAAAATTTGCAAGAACCCTCGGACCTGAATGAATTCCTTGGATAAACAACTTAAGCGAAAGAAGATGGATATGAAATTTGGCACTTGGAATGTTAGAAGTATGTTTAGGCCAGGCTCGCTCAGGGCAGTGGCAGAAGAAACCTCAAAATATAGGTTAGATTAAGTGGGAGTACAGGAAGTGAGATGGGCCAGAGGTGGTACTGAAACAGCAGGCGAATATACATTTTTCTATGGAAAGGGGAAGGAAAATCATGAATTAGGTACAGGTTTTTTCGTACATAAGAGAATTATCAGCAGTTAAGAAGGTAGAGCTTGTTAGTGACAGGATATCATACATAATACTCGTACTAAGAGGTCACTGTTATGATATGATCATTCTGAATGGTAATTCCCCAAAGGAAGATAGAATTGATGATATAGAGGACAAGTTCTATGAAGAACTAGAACACGTAACTGATAAATTCCTGAAGTACCATATGAAAATTTTGTTTAGATTTCATTTCCAAAGTAGGTCGAGAAGACATTTTCAAACCAACGATTGGGAATGACAGTTTGCGTGAAATTAGTAATGATAATGGAGTTAGAGCAGTACACTTTGCCACATCAAAAAGTCTTACTGTCAAAAGTACAATATTCCCACATCGTAACATCCATAAATTTACTTGGACACCTCCTGATGTGAAGATACACAATCAAATCAACCATATTTTGATAGATAGGAGATGGCACCTAAGTATACTTGATGTCTGATCATTCAGGGCAGCAGATTGTGATACTGACCACTACCTTATGCTGGCAAAGGTTAGGGAAAGACTGGCAGTGAGCAAACAAACAACGCACGATGTTCATATGGAGAGGTTCAATCTCAAGAAATTAAATGAGATAGAGGGTAAAGAGCAGTAATGTGTTGAAATCTCAAATAGGTTTGCGGCTTTGGAAAACTTGGACACTGAAGTGGTTGTTAATAGAGCTTGGGAAACTATTAGAATATAAGAATTTCTGCCAAGGATAGTCTGGGATACTATGAACTGAAAAAGCATAAACCATAGTTCAGTGAAGGATGCTCAAAATTACTAGACCAAAGAAAACAAGTTAAATTGCAATGGTTGCAGGATCCAAGTGAAATAAATATAATCTCAACAATATAAGATGTGACACCAGCAGGCATTTTGGGAATAAAAAGAAGGAATATCTGAAAGACAAAATTGATGAGCTTGCAATGAACAGTAAGAACAAGAACATTAGAGGAATAAATGACTTTAAGAGGGGTTACCAACGTAGCAATAACTTAGTGAAGGATGAGAATGGTGATCTGCTTGCAGCTTCCCACAACATTTTGAATAGGTGCAAGAACTACTCTCAGTTATTGAATGTGCATAGGGTCAGTGATGTTAGGCAGACAGAAATGCACACAGCCAAGCCGCTACTACCTGATCCTAGCCATTTTGAGGTTGAAATTGCTATTGCAAAATTGAAAAGGTATAAATCGCCAGGTAGTGATCAAATTCCTGCAGAATTTGTTCAAGCAGGAGGTGAAATATTATGTTCTAAGATCCATAAGCTAATTACTTCTATTTGGCATAAGGAAAAATTGCCTGATCAGTGGAAGGATTCTATTATTGTACCAGTTCACAAGAAGCGTGATAAAACTGACTGTAGTAATCATCGGGGATATCACTGTTATCAACTTTATACAGAATGTTATCCAATATTCTTCTCTCAAGGTTAAGTCCATGCATAGATGAAATTATTGGGGATTATCAGTGTGGGTTTCAACATAACAGATCAACTACCGATTCATCAGATACTGGAGAAAAAATGGGAGTACAATGAGACAGTACATCAGCTATTCATATACTTCAAGAAAGCCTATGATTCAGTTAAGGAAGTATTGTACAATATTCTGATAGAGTTTGAGATACCCATGAAACTAGTCAGGCTGATTAAATTGTTTTTAAATGAAACATATGGTAAAGTCAGTATAGGTAAACATTTGTCTGATAAATTTCCTATCCAGAATGGTGTAAGACAAGGAGATGCTTTATCGCCACTTCTTTTCAGCTTTGCTTTAGAATATGCCATTAGGAAGGTCCAAGAAAACCAGATGGGACTGAAATTAAATGGGACATGTCAGCTGTTGGTCTATGCTGATGATGTGAATCTACTGGGCTATAATATAGATACTGTAAAGAAAAACACACAGACTTGAATTGACAATAGTAAGGAGGTTGATATAGAAGTAAATACAGAGAAAACTAAGTACATGTTGCTGTCTCGTCACCAAAATGCAGAGCAAGATCATGACATAAAGATAGGTCTGAAAATGTGTCACAGTTCAGATATTTGGAAAAGACTATAACAAATCAAAACCTGATTGAGAAGGAAATTAAGAGGATATTGAACTTGGGTAATGCTTGCTACCATTCAGTCCAGAACCTTTTGTTTTCTTGTCTGCCGTCTAAAAACATAAAAATTAGAATATACAAAACTATAATTTTGTCTGTGGTTTTATATGGGTGTGTAACCTGGTCTCTGACTTTAGGGGAGGAACATAGACTGAGGGTGTAGAGAATAGGGTGGACCAAAGAGGGATGAAATGACAGGAGGTTGGAGAAAACTGTATAACAAGGAGCTTGATAACTTGTACTCTTCTCCAAGTATAATTAGATTGATCGAGTCAAGAAGGATTAGATGGGTAGGACATGTAGCACGAATTGGGGAGGTGGAATGCATATAGGATATTGATGGGAAAGCCGGAAGGAAGGAGACCACAGGGAAGACAAAGATGTGGGTGGGTGGTCAGTATTAAAATGGATCTTAGTGATATTATGGGATGGTATGGATTGGATTGATCTGGCTCAGGATAGGGGCCAGTGGAGGGCTCTTGTGAACACGATAATGAACCTTCGGGTTCCATAAAATGCTGGGAAGTGCTTGAGTACTGCACAATTGGCAGCTTCTCACGAAGGGCTCAGCTCCATGAATGAGTGAGTGAGTGAGTGAGTGAATGAGTGGACTTAACCTTGAGAAAAGGTTATTGGACAGTATTTTATTTGAAGATGATAACACTCCTATGCCTCAATAATTACCACAGTCAGATATATCTCTCTTGTAAATTGGTACAATAATAAATTCCATCCAGTGTTGAGGCAAGTCTCCCTTATTCAGAATAGAAGTAATGAGTTTGTGGATATCAGAGTGTAATGTTTCACTTCCTGGTTGAATCAGTTCTGCCAGAATTTGATCAGTAACCAGGTGATTTTTACATTTCCAATTTTTCAGTAGCAATTACAAACTCAGAAATACTTGGGCTCAGATACTAATGGCTCAGCTGTGTGTATTTCTATTTGCCTCACATTACTGATTATGTGTGCATTCAGTAGCTGAGAGAAGTAGTTCTTCCACCTGTTCAAAATGTGGGAATCTGCAAGCAGATCACCATTCTCAACCTTTACTAAGATATTTTTAGGTTTGTAAGCCATCTTAAATTTAATTATTCTATGTAAGTCTGTCATGTTCTTCCATGAAAATGTACCAAATGACATATGAGGCGGAGTCAGTAAATAGGTCACAAATGGAAGTAAAACAGTTGTAATGGACGTAATAGGTTTTCTATGTGTATCACTAGGTAGCAGCACAGTCCAGCTTCATGACAGTCTGGGTGGCAGATGTGCATATGCAAGTTCAGGGGCTGCTTTCAATAGTCAGAATGGCAACCTTGCTTGAGTGTGCTACCAAAGACCAGTGTTCTCTTGTGCATTCTGTCTTGTAGTTAAAAATGGTGGCTGACAAATGAATAAAGTTTTCAGGAGAATTCTGTGGAAGGGAAAACAGTACATGGAGGCCCAAAGTTTTGTGAGATATAGAGGCTCCCACATTTCCTAGACATTTGGCTCACAGATGGTGGTGAGATTGTCAGCCCTATGCACCAGCTGCCCTTTACCCCCAGGAAGATTCCTGGTACTCACTTCTGTTAGAGGCTGAGTCAACCCAGGGCCATAGTATGGCTTGAAGGATTAGGTCAATTGTAAAATCCAGTGACCACATCACGAATCAAGCTCGTGACCTTGTGGGTTGTAACATAGTGCCTCCCCAAACTGTGCCACCATGTGCCCCTAAAGAGTTCTTTGAATGGATTCAAAATAAAAATGTTGTAGATTACGTAATTACACCAAGTGAGAAAAATGTGGTTGGGTGGTGTGTTTATCTTTACCAACAATGAAATTGTTATATATTATGAGTGTTGAGGACACATACACTCAGACTTTATGTAGGTGAGCCAGTCTACTTGTTTCAGTGACTGCTTTGTGTTACAGGTGGATCTGAGGACTTGGATGATTATCCATGCACCTCGTGACGCTCGTTTTGCTAACGAGTTTGCAGGCATGATGCAGAAAGTTGGGCCACAGATGGGGATCAGTGTTTCTGATGCCCGCATTGCACGTTTGCATGATGATCGTACTGACTCCTATCTCCGTATGTTGCGGGAGAACATAAATCCAGTCCTCCAGGTGGTGGTGATTATCTTCCCTACTTGCAGAGACGACAGGTACGCTGCAGTAAAGAAGCTGTGCTGCGCCGAAATGCCAATTGCTTCACAGGTTAGCTCTTGTTTTAGAGTCATATTTTCCTGAGTCCTTTATTGAATTTGCATTGTAGTGTCTACACACATCTCCGTTGCATAATTACTCCATTTTGTTTGCATGGGGTTAAATACAAGATTTTATTTTATGCCACATATTAATCTGTCCTTTAATTTGACATGGTGATTAACACTGTTTGCTGTCTTCCTTCTACCTGTATTCCCCCACTCAGTGAGTAGTTGTATGGATCTTATTCTGCGCTAAATGTAGCCTTTTGTTTATACTTTGTGTTCAACTTTTTTATAGCTGTTGACGTTACCAGTATCATTCTATTAAGTCTGAACTTCTTATGCTGCGGTCTTCCTTATACCTCACCTTCACCATCCTGGTATACTAACTGATTGTGTTTGTGGTGAACCAGGTCACAAGGAAAGTAAAGTTACTGTATCTTGAAATATTTTGGAATCATGTGGTTGCCCTATCCTCATTTCAATGTAAAAGAATTATCCAGAAGGTAGTGGCAGTTACACAAGTAAGCACAATAATTTTTGTGTGGTGATTGCTAATGCCAGGTATGTTCATGGTTGATCCTGAAAAGATTATAACACAAGAACTATCATACATACTTACCCCAAACCTATCAGAACTACCATGCAACTTTGAAGAAAATTATTGGCCTATTAGATCCAACATATCCTAGATTCACGCCAAAAAGTTTGGTTTGTGTCAAGAAATCTGGCTGATTGAGCCGTTCTGAAACATGAAAATACTGCGTGGGCAAATTTGTAATCCTATAACTCAATAGATCTATCTGAGAAGAGTCTGTTGATGTGCATATGAATCCAACGTGAAGGAAATGTACAAAATTATTTTGTGCCATAAAACCGTTAATCCAAAATGTGTACATCGTTATTATGTTATTCTTCCTTGAACCTTTTTTTTTTCTTTCAACAAATTACTGTTTTTCTTTATTGGGTTTGAGGTTCTCACAGTGGTGACTGTGAAGAGCTCTATCATATGAGATGAGATGTAATCTGATCTGGTAAAAATCATTTCTGTTGCACTGCTTGCTGTTACATCCCAGAAGATGGTACTCCTCACCCTGTTACTTCTTTGATAACAAGAGTTGTGCCAAAATCCTTATCCAGTGATAATTGAACTGTTCCTTCCACCTTTTATTTGGTCAGTGTAAATCATATGATAGCAAGCTTGCCATGATAAGGATTCAGGTGTCATTCTTTGTACATGTTCATACCCATAAAATTGGAGGTAATGTATGTTTGATAAAATCATCTTTGGCTCTAAGCTGTGTCAGGTGGGGGAAAATTCATCTTAAACCAACTGACGCTTCTGATAGCCAGAGAAGATTTTGACTTTTAACTGCCATGAAAGCTTCACAACTTTTTTTTTTTTAATTGCTTGTGGGGTGGGACTAAGTCCCTTGTACTGCGGCCACATCTGGCCTATTGTACCAGCCCCAGATGATAGGTGAGGGTGACTGTGGAGCAATTGGTGGAATGAAGATTAGCAGGGGAAACCGAAGTACTTGGAGAAAACCTGCCCCAGTGCCACTTTGCCCACCACATATCCCACTTGACCAGACCCAGGATCAAACCCAGGCTGCCACAGTGGGAAGGCAGTGACTAACCTCTTGGGCTATGGTGCGGCCTAAGCTTCACATCTTACATAATGTATATTGTGTTTTGCAGCTAAAACTCATATCCAGAATGTGTAAAAGTTTCAGTCTTGTGCAGCTGCACTGTGCCAGACTTCAGATGGTTAGTGCAAGGGATAGTCTTCAGTAAAGAGTGAATTGTGTTAGGACATTACTTTTGTGTTGCCAGTGGCAGTGCACTTGTACATCTGTGCCTCAGGCTCACGGTCATGGAACTTTGTCCACAGGTGATCAACTCTCGGACTCTGTCCAAACCTGACAGACTGCGGTCTGTGGTTCAGAAGATAGCCTTGCAGATGAATTGTAAGCTTGGAGGGACCCTGTGGGCAGTCAAGATTCCTATGGTAAGAAACTGTACACAACTTTGTGACACTATGAATATGGCATCTGCTGTAGCTGAGGCTTTTGGATTCCATTTTGCACATTCAGTCCAAGGCCAGTGATGGTTCTAAAAGCCTAAGCATTGTTACACTGAAAGATGCAACTTATGTATATTAGTTTCCCTCTTGATCAGCCAGTGTAACAGTGTCATTCATAGAACTGGGTTGGCAAGAAGATTACTGTCATATGATACAATGCCATATAGTTTTGTAGAAAGTTAGTAGACTGAGGTAAGAGGCAGCTGGTGCGTAAGGCTGCCGACCTTACCGTCATCTCTGAGCCAAATGTGTAGATAGTGTGGGCCATCTCACAACTCTATGGGCCTCCATGGCCTGTTACAGGGATAGCTTTACAATTTACCTTTACAATTTTATTTATCTATTTTTTTTAACTCGCCATGAGAACCTCAGATCCTGCATGTGTGTTGTAAGATTTAAAGTTTCCAATGACAACTGAACTCACAGGTTTCTCAAAAGCAGTTTATTCAGATTAACATTGTGCATGATTGAGTTTGTTTCACTGCAGAACCTTTTGTGACTGTAAAGGGTGACATTGCTGCTGTTTTCATGTGTGTTTCATTGCAGAACAACTGCATGGTGTGCGGTATTGATGCCTACCATGACTCTTCCAAGAGAGGGGCCAGTGTTGCTGGCTTTGTGGCGTCACTCAACCAGACCTTGACACGATGGTTTAGTAAAGTCTGCTTCCAAGGCCCTGGTCAGGAGCTGGTCGATGGGTTGAAGACCTGCCTTATCTCCTCCCTGAAGTTTTATTATGATGTGAGGCTTCAGCATATTATATGTACCTTCCACACTGTCATTATTGTGGCTCATTCAGTTCTGTAGACAAAGCGCTCTCATGTGATACTGAGCTCTACACTCAGGCCATGGAAAGAAGTCCCATGCCTCTGCTTTTTCTACATCTGCCTTGAAGTGTTCCCCCCCTTAGTGTACTTCCTTATATTCACCTTCAGTTTCCTGACCATTCTGTGCACAGGAATTTTGGTAATGATAGCCGCATGATGATCTTCGCTAGTGAGATGCCTTCTTGCTGTTTACTTAAAGCATGGGGTGGGGGAGCTCAGTTCAAATAGAACACTAGGCAAAGAGTGGGAAACATCAAGTGAAAACATCCCTACCATCTGTGGCACTTCTTTCCATTGCCGTCGTGTACTTGTGAGCCATAACTTGAGAGCACGTGTTTGTCAGATTTGTCCTTTGAAACATGAAAGGAAAGCTAAACGCACTGCTCTCCAGCAGCAAAAATTCCCTGGAGAGATGGTGAGACTGGGGTAGCACACATTAAGCTGCAGTATACTGTTTGAAATGCATTACGACCCCATGGAATGTTCAGTGGTTGTGGTTGTGTGTCTACATTCTGAATTCTGGCTTCATGATATAGCAGGAACTTACATTGCTTGAAAAGTTTGGTCTTTATGTGTTCTGGACGCATCCAAGTGCGTACAGTGAATGCGTAATGGGGAGTTGTGTCCACGGTTTCATCTCAAAAACTACAGGAAGGATATAAGTGAAATTTGATATTCCTGTTTGTCAGAGCTCTTGGAGAACTTAATTTTCTTTTGTACTGATGTAACACTACTCTACATGAGACTGAAGTCCAACTTTAATGGCTGTCTCAAAAATGCTTATTTTACAAAATTGAAGTGTTACTGACCTTTATGGGTGATGCAGTGCACTGTTACAATTCATGTGTTTGGAGTCCAACATACCTAATGTTGCTTTTTTTGACACAAATACCATTATCCCATCAGAACTCACAGTACTGATTGGTAATTAGAATCCCTGAATTTTCTGAACAGTAAAGTTTAAGATATATGTATTTTGAAGAAAGCAGTCTTCTGGGATTTGGCACCGTGTATATGTGGTGTTAACCAATGTTTCGGAGGAATGTATCGCCTCCATCTTCGGGGTAGAAAAAAAAATATAAGAAATCCGCAAGCGAAGTAACTGTGAAACTGCAGACTGCTTTTACTGGTTCTCACGGTCTCTTTGCTTGCGGATTTCTTATATTTTTCTTCTACCCTGAAGATGGAGGCGATACGTTCCTCCGAAACGTCAGTCGCCACCACATATACACGGTGCCAAATCCCAGAAGA